GTCTGTCTCCCAAGATACGATGGTTAGACCAGCTACAACAATGCACCAACTGAGTAACTTCGGCGAACAGAATTTTGCAGCACTCTCTCACATAAAGAAAATAATATAAAATTGGAAAACTTATGAAGACAAGAAGAGCAACAATTTATGATGTAGAAAGTTGAAGGAGAAGGGTCTCCTTTTATACACATGGTAGGAGAGAGGAAGAGGTTCCAGCCATTAAGGCCCATCATAAATGCATAAATGAATTATGTATTAAACCTGCAAAACTACAAGAATAAATCATCATCATTATAGAGGAGTTACACACATATTATATATCTGTGTAATATATATAATTCTGCAGCCCACAACATTGCCTTGGCCCAAAAAGATTAAGATGGGTGGGCCAAGCCCAACCCCTATAATCCATTCCAGCTTCAAGCCCAAGCCCCAAGAGCCACGATCCTAGACCCGACCCCGGCCCAGTTCGGGCGAGCGGCTCGTTCGTGTGGCAATTTTCCATAACCAACTTGGACCATAGTCTTAGCCCAAGTCCATCCTTGAAGCATCTGTAACTCCCTTACTTCGGAAAATTTGGATGCCCCAAAGGTTCGGGCGCACAGCGCGTGCGTGTGACAATTTTTCTATAACCAACTTGGACCATAGTTTTGGCTCAAGTCTATCCTTGAAGTATCCATAACTCCCTTCTTTCGAAAAATTTGGATGCCTCAAAGGGCTCATACCCTTAAGCAAAAAATGAGATTTAAATACTCATGAATGCTCTCATCTACAATCAATGTGGAATATAAGGTTTTACACCTTTTTCAACACCTCTTTCATGAGTCCAACTTAATGAGTCAATTTTTTCATTCAAACCTTAATCGTTTTTGGTCAATTTTTTTTTTGTGTGTAAAGATCTCACTACAAAGAATCTAAACTAACTTTACTTCACCTCAATTGAGGATTGACATCCTCTTTAATATTGCATTAAAGTCATCTACCTTCAAGATAAAACTATAATTTATGGTACACCTAGATAACAAACAAATCAAAAATCTTAAATCACACCATTTTAAAGAAAAATTAAAAACTCTTAAATAGATTTCTTAAACAAATCTTTCACGCTTGTCCAACCTCTTCAACACTCCAGACTTGTTGAAATCTCTCTGCACTAATAAAAAGGTAGATCAACGTCACAAATTGGTTTTCATTTTGCAAGCAACATAAAGATAATGGATGAATCGTTTACTAATCAATCAAGCAGCAAACTTTGGTTTCTTTTTGTGCTTCTCAACCATCTTCTCTAGTAATCCTTTTTAGCCCCAAGGATCTGAATACACACATAATTAGATGATAAGTTGTTTCAATATATATATATATATATTTTATTCATTGTTTGATTTTGTTCAAACTTTCTTTTATTTGAAAATATCAACACAATAAAAAACAATGATATTGATGATAATGACAAGAAAGAAGATGAAGAAATAATTAAAACTTGAAAAATAATATGAAGAATACGAATGAGTGATTAGGGTGTACTATGTAAAAAAAATTATATTTTAAAATTTAGTATTTATTATTCTTATTAATAAATTTACATTAAAATATAATTAAAATTAAAATTTTAAAATTTTAGTTAGACGGTTAATCAAACAGGCGCGAACCATACACAAATTTTGTTGGGGAACTGACCCAAAGGTCAAAGCCCAACATATCATACCCCATTTAGGCCCAAAACAAATTTAATACTCCATTAAGTCCTCAAATTATCAATAAGACGAAAATACCCACAATATATCATCCAATTTACACGCGCGCAACCTTCACCCACGATCATCTCACTCTGATCAGTACACTGTCACATCTCCGCCGCTCGAAATCGGATTCTCAGTCCTCCATCTCTCCTCTGTTTGACTCCATTCCCTCAGAAACCCTATCCTAACCACAAAACGAAACCGTTTATCTTCATCACCCACGATCATCTCAGTCTGATCAGTACACTGTTACATCTCCGCCGCTCGAAATCGCATTCTCACTCCTCCATCTCTCCTCCGTTCGACTCCATTCCCTCTGAAACCCTACCCTAACCACAAAACGAAACCGTTCATCTTCAACACAACACCAAGCTGTTCATATTCTCCAATCGGCGACTCTCAACAACACGAAGAACCATCACCACTCTGAAGAAATTTCATAGTTCCTGACTTCTGATTCACAGAAATGGGGAAAAAAGTAACATCTCTCTTCACCTATTCATTATTTTTCATTCAAATCTGTACATTATTCTTTCATATTTCGTATATATACATTTTACGTACTTCAAAATGTATAAACCCTCTTTCATATATCATCCCCTGCTTTACAACATTCTAGTCCCCTGCTTTTAAACATTCTAATCCACTGTTTTTACACATAAATCCCTGTTTTTACACATTCAACACCTTATTCTTATTCTTGTTGTTCAATATTGCATTTTCTTATTGTTGTTATTTTTGAATACTTAATCTTATCGTTGTTATTGTTGCTGTTTACAAAATACAATGGGTTGTTCTTATTGTTGATACTGTTTATAAAAACTGCAACATCATACAGTTTCATTTCATCACTCTACAAGTAACATATCTAAATTTATTCAAACTGCAAATGAAACTGCAAAATTACACAATTTAATCACTACTCAAAACAAATAGGTAACTTATTATAAAGTGTAAATCAAACTGTCAAATTATACAGTTTCGTAATTGTTACCAACAAATACATATAACTTCATATTAAACTGCATAAAAAACTTTAAAATTTTACAGTTTTGTCACTATATTACTCATACCCTGCTGTCGCTTTCATTTTTTCAGAAATAGCTGTTGGAAGATATTGGAAGAAACAAACCCATATGCCCAAAAATCCAATAAGGGATTTAAGTATCTCCCCTTTTGAAAGTCCGTCTCCTGTATCCACTGAAATGCCACCAACATCTCCCCCTCCACAAAAAACCCAACCACCACAACCAAAAACAACCAAACACCAGAGACCCCGCCAAAAAACCCACAAAACAACCACACTACCTACAAGAAAAAGCCCAAGAACTACACCACAGGCCCCACCCACACAAAAAACACCAACCACACCTCCAACCACAACAAAAACAAACAAAAGAAAGCCAACAAAAAACAAGAAGCTCCTCCAACCAAAAAAAGAAAGATCCAAGAAAGCCAATCAACTCCCATAACAAAAATCAAGGCATCAAAAGGGAAAAAAGCAGCAGTCCCTGCAAAGAGAGTCCAATAATTTAATTACCGTTCCAACATCGGAACAGTAATCAAACTGTTGAAGGGGGTCAAATTCACAAAAGCCCAACAGACAGAGCTGCAAAAAATCCCTTTTTGGCCCATTATAAATGCTCTCTCCTTAACACAACTGAAGGCGTCTTGGTGCAGGTGCTACAATTTCATTGTAGCAGAAATGATAACACTCTACAACAAAAGAAAAAGAGCATTTATACTTGGCAAAAAGGAAATGAAACTCAGAAACAGTGATGTCAAGCTCATTTTTGGTATCGACTGTGGAGAAGACAACATCACCACCAAATCCTATGTAAGACCAAAGGATTTTGAGCTTCCATTTTACAAACGAAGATGCAAATCAGTAAAGAGATTGGATGGCAAGTCTTTGACCAAAATGTTTCAACAAACAAAAAAAGGAAAATCAACCAATGATCGTCAAGATCTTGCAAGGGTCATCACCCTTTACTTGTGCTTGAAACTTCTCATGCCTACAACAAGCCATACACTCAGTTGGAGTTTCCTCAACTATGTTGACAATCTCAACGACATCAAGAAGTACAATTGAGTTGAGGCAATAAAAGACACACTAATGAATTCAATGGAAAATGCAAACAACAACCCAAGGCATGTCACTGGATGCGTCATGTTACTCTTGGTAAACACATTACTCAACTAGTTTACACAAAAATATCATACATCCACCTATTTCTAACTATCTAACATATTTCAATTTTTTTTTACAGTACTGGTACTGTGAGCACAGTAAACTCCTCCGACCATCTAACAAAGAAGGCTTCCCAAGGTTTATGAAATGGAACCTTGGCAAAATGTACTCTAAGTGGAAACACATCAGCCTTGCTCACTTTGAAAAGGTATTCAAACTCTTCTATACTATCATAGCACAAATCTATTCGGCACTCCTTTCACAGTCATTATAGTAAAAATCATGTTATGAAACTGTCAAATTCTTCAGTTTCAAACAACATATGTTCAACACTTGACTCACATTATTCACAGTACAAATCATATTATGAAAAAGTAAAAGTTTGCAGTTTCAAAGCACACACTTATTTAACATCACTCATGTTATGAAACTGCAAAAGTTTACAGTTTAAACACATAAATCTATTTCACATCACTCATATTATGAAACTGTAAAATTTTTCAATTTCAAGCAACATATTTCGACACTTAACCCACATTACTCACAGTACAACTCATCTTATAAAACTGACCAATTTTACAGTATTACTGATATATGTCACATTGTTCCAATGCAGGTTAACCAAAGTGCTTTAACCCCAACTGAACAAGAAATACAGTAATTGCATATCAATCAAAGCACATCAATAGACTCTTCAGCAAAGAAACATGACCACAAAAAGGACAATAAGCGAAAAAAGAAAACAAAAATAACCAAAAAAAAAAGACTTCTAGACAGTGATGAGGATGACTTTCTCGAAGAAGAACATCAATCAGAATCAGAACACAGAATCACAATCAGAAAAAAAAAAAAAAAAAAAAAAAAAAAGAAAGCAAAAATCACAAGAAGAACCAGAAAAGTGATGAACAAGAAGAAGAGAGTGATGAAGAAAAAAAACAAGTGACTGATGAAGAAGAAGCTGAAGAAGAAGAAGAAGAAGAAGAAGAAGAAAAAGAAAAAGAATAAGAAGAAGAAGAAAAAGAAAAAGAAAAAGAAGAAGAAGAACCTGATGAACAACAAGACAATGATGAAGCAGAAGAAAGACAAGAAGCAAAAGGTGATCAACCAGAAGACACTAATGAAGAAGAAGACCAACAACAAGAGCAAGAAGAACAACAAACAAACTAACAGCAACAAGTCAATGAACAAGAACTGACAAACCAACAAGAAGAACTCCAAGAGAAATCTGACATATTTCATGCACAAGGTAAACTATTGTCTAATACTAAAGCAAACTGTAAAATTTAATTAAACCAACCAAAACACAATCCAACATTTTTATAGGTCATGACCAACCACAAACACCAACCAAAGAGGACGACAAGGACAAGCTCATATCAGCCATGAGAGCACAAATGCAAGATATGGAACAAAAATTCATGGCTGAATTGCGTAAATAAGAAGATCAATTGAAGGAAATGTCCACCAAAAAAACTGGCAGTCCCCAACAAAGATCAATGGTCAAGAGAATCAAACAAAAGTCAAGAAAACAAGCACATGACCCAGATTTTGAATACCAACCAATGACAAAAGCCAAAAAAGATACAAGGAACAAGACACAAACTGCTGCTGATGTACCCAAACCAATAGAGGGTATCGATGAAGAAAAAGAGAAGAAGAATGAAAAGAAAAAAGAAGAAATCGAAACTGAGACAGAACCTGCTACTGAACCCGAGCAAAAAGAGGGTGCTCATGAAGCAACACAACAGCAGAAAGAAAAGATACAAGAAGATATTGGCCAAGAGAAAGCAGTTGCTGCTGAAACTAACCCAAAAGAGCATGCCAATCAAGAGAAGACACAACTTCAAGTATTGGAAAGTGATGATGATTTCAAGGAATAATCAACCCAAAACAAGCCACTCGCCATTTCTTGCCGCAAAACAAACAAGGTTTGGCATAGCCTATCCAAAAAAGACCTAGACAAAATTCAACTCATCAACAACACACAATCAAGTGCTTGTGTCTGGTCTGGCAGCGAAGATGAAAATTACGTATACTTTTCAGACATATGCAGATTGACCAACAGGGAACCCTTATATGGGAATGTACGTCTCCAACTGCACAATTTTACACTTTCTGTTCATATTCAATAACTTATTCCACAAACCTAACACATTCTCATATATAACATGTTTCAAGTCATTGATGCCTTCTCAGAAAAAAAATTGGCACTCCAACCAACCATTGAAGAATTTGAGAAAAATGATCTAGCCTTTGCAAGAAATCCATACGCGAGAAGATCTTACGTTTTTTCAACACTCATCAATGTAAGCAAACCTTAACATACCTTTCAACTGCAAAATTTCTACTTTCTTAACATGTCTTACTATATAGTTTTATAACATATTTCAAATATATATATAACTTACAGACTCCATTACAAAACCAAGATCAAGCACTGAGAGAAAAAATGATGGACAACCATTTTCCAGAAGCAATGAAAAACAGATATATCCATTTCCCAATCAACCACGACAACCATTGGTTAATTGTGGTCTTTGACAATGCTGATGGGATATGGAGACACTATGACTCTTTGAGACCAACAAAAGATTGCCACAACAAGCACTTTGAAATTGCAAAGGAAATTGTAAGTTAAATAAAATTTTCTATTTAGTTCCATTCCTTTAAAAACATCTCAACTCATCACTATAACTAACAAAAACACCCACTAACTATTTTGTAGCAACAACATCAACTCAGATGGAATAAAGCATTACTCAGCAATCAAGGAAACATGTTATCATCTCAAGAGTGCGAGACAGTAATTGCATCAATTGAGGAATGCCCACAACAAACCCCACACTCGTAAGATACAAAATCAATAAACTAATCTTCCAATATGCTAAATTTTACAGTTTTACCTAACTAATTAACTTCATCTAAAACTTTCCAGGAATGATTGTGCAATCGCCGTCTGCAATATTATCAACCAATATATCAACTGACAACCTGTGCAGAAATCACTTCGACCAACCGAGTGGGTCAAATTTTGAGCAAAAATCATCAGTCAATTCCTCAATGATGAGAACTGATCTTGGAAACTCGAGCACTACTAAATGTTGACAAAACATACCAAACCATAGAAATAATCAACAAACTTCTTGACAATACAAATATTCAAGTAAACATATCTTTGTACTTTTTTTTTTTTTTTAACATGTGACAAGTACTTTATATACTTTTGGGAATGATCTTCTTCTGGTTATTATGGTGAAAATGATTGTTGTCATTGATGTTGTTGCTCTTCTTCTTGTTATTATTATTGTGTTTGTACTTCTGATTGTTTGTGTACTTGTTTGTGGTTGTATATATTTTCATACAGTAAAGGTTGTTTCTAATAAATCTTCAAACTGCAAAATTATGTAGTTTCATCAGGTTGTTTCTAATAATTCATAAAACTGCAAAATTATGCAGTTTCATCAGGTTGTTTTTTATAATTATTAAAACTACAAAATTATACAGTTTCATTACTCAAACAAAATTTATGCTACACAATTATGCATCCAATTTCATGACTCAACAAATAGATGAACTACATTTCAAAATTGAAAATAAAACTGCAAAATTTTACAGTTTTCTCGCTATAAAATATGAAATTTTCATACAGTAAATGTTGTTTCTAATAAATCTTCAAACTGCAAAATTATGCAGTTTCATCAGGTTGTTTTTTATAATTATTAAAACTGCAAAATTATGCAGTTTCATTACTCAAACAGAATTTATGCTACACAATTATGCATCCAATTTCATGACTCAACAAATAGATGAACTACATTTCAAAATTGAAAATAAAACTGCAAAATTTTACAGTTTTCTCGCTATAAAATATGAAATAAATGAATCATGTAGTAAAACTGCATTTCAATATTATACAGTTTCAATAAGAAATTTTCAACAACCTTCTGTGCATTCCATAAAAATAAAACCAACCAAACCCACAAAAAAAAAATAATAATAAAAAACAAAACAAAACTGTTACAAAACAACTTCAATAACTAAAAAACACATCAAAAAACAAAAAACAATTCAACCAATTTTATTCATTACTTCCATAATACCAAGTATCACATTTTTTATTATCATAATTCCTTAAATTCAAATGCAAATCCAAAAGAATAGACTGTGGCCTCAAATAGCAGTCTTGCACGTCTTCTTATTGTGATTTCCATATTTCAAGCACCTCCCACACTTGATTTGCTTCACATTCTCACCCCTAGAAGGTATCCTCTTCTTCTTGTTCCGCCCGGGCTGCTTCTTCGTTATAGGAGGTTTGATAATCGAACTACTGGCACCATCAAAGTCAAATCTCTCACTTAAAGACACTGGATAAACAGATTCCTTGTATGACTCTCTAAAACATTCTACATGAAAAAAAGGGATCAATGAAATCATACACATTTCTACCACTACTACGTAAAGCATGCACAACATGACAACAAGGAAAACAATTCAATTGCCATTCATGGCAAGAACAAGTCTGTCTACCAATATCAACATAAAAAGAAATAGAAGAATGAACCTCAAGCACAGTATCACTAGCAACAATCACATCCCAAGACTTAGCTAGCTCCAAAGAGTCCACCAACTTCTTTTCCATAACATGACACAATTTCGTAGTCCATCTTTTAGATTCAGCTCTTCTATTCGACAATTGAGTCATGATTTGAACCCTAATCATATCAACCATACAAGTAATAGGCAACTCGGGCCCCACCAATGCAATTATTGTAAGGCTCGACAGCATTAGATGACATCTCACCATATCGTTTCCTTCTAAAAAATGCATTCGCCCACTTATCATTTTGCGAACCATCCAACATACTATCAACTTTACCATTCCCAACAATACGCCTCAATTTCTCCATATAATGTTGGAAAGAAGCAACCGTTGGCGCATAAGCACATATAACTAATATTTTCATCAAACTCAGCTTATAGTTAGTACGAAGTCCCACAAATTTGTCAATCAAATTTCTTTTCAAATGATTCAAGCAATATGCATGATGTGCATTGGGAAAAACCACTAAAAGAGCGTCTACCAATCCATGTTGACGGTCCGACACAAAGGTCAATCTCCGGCCTGAACCAACAACCTTTAACAACTGACTTAAGAACCACATCCAATTATCTTGATTTTCAACGTCAACAATCGCAAAAGCCAAAGATAGCCGGTTGCCCTTGAAGACAACTCAAATATATCTCTAAACATTATGCCTTCAAACTTTTTCCTAAGTTCAAAATCTAAGCAATTCTGAGCTAATCTTATGATTTCTATTTCAGGCATGTACACATGACATCTATTTTTTGCTTTCTTAAACCTGTCGATGTACTGTTTTTCACTCTCTCCTTGTCTTTGTTTAAATTTTGAAAAATCCACCATTGTAACCTCAAGCTCGGTTCTAAAGAACTGAGCATGAAACTGACTCTCCATTTCTTGCCAAGTATGAACAGAATTTTCTGGCAAGTTAATAAACCATGTAAATGCCACTTTAGACAAAGAATGAGGAAAGAGTTTTAATTTTAAATTGTCATCATAGCAAGGTTCTCCACATTGGAGTATGAACTTGTCTACATGTTCTATGGTTGATTATCTCTCTTCCCCTATAAACAAAGTAAATTGAGGAATCCTATAATTTCTTGGAATGGGAGTTGTTTATACCCATGGAGGGTAAGGAATCCTAAACATTGGCCTATCTGGGCTTCTGGTCTTCTCAGGCCTGAACCATACATTTCTTGTATGATGTTCATTATTTGTTGTCTATTATTAATATGTGGGTCTAAGTATTGCTGTTGTTGTCCCCCTTCTTGAACTTCTGGTTGAAAGTAAGGAAAAAGAGGGCCATGGCCTCTAAGTCTTAGATGCATCATGTTGGGTTCATAATATGGTTGTTGCATGGCATGATCTCGTATATCCTAAGGCCTTACTTGATTAATTAACCTATTTCTCTATTCCGCCAGATCCTGATAACTTGTTACAGGCCCATCAAATGCATGAGTACCATACATTTGTGGCCTTTTTTCCCCCCCCCCCCCCCCCTTTTTTTTTTCCCCGGACAGCCTGTCCGATTTTTAGCCCATTCAATCGCCTTCGCCTCCTTTTCGACAATTTC